TACATGAAAAAGAAATCATGTTTAAACAACGAATTCTTAGGTAAAATAATTTATTTGAGTATTTAAGTATAATTTTATTCTTTTAGTTATGAAATATATATTAAAGTAAAGATGAAAATTGATTTGTTTTTTTTGCTGAAATTCATTTATGAATATCAAGGAATTAGCAATGAAACATGATCGATCATTAAGACGAATAGATGATGAAAAAAATATTATAAAAAATAAACAAATAGAAATTGAAGTGCTTAAAAAGGATATCGAACATATGCAACAAGAAAAAATAAAATTACAAAAAATTCTTTCACAATATCAACCACATTTAAATCTTCTCATACAAGTTAATCCAAAAATTCGATTTTTCTTTGGTTTAGTAAAAGATGTTTTTCGTTCTAGATTGTTGATCAAACTGATCGCTTTCATTCTATTGATGAAATGATTGAAAAATTTGATATGCTTTATGCTAGTTATCAAGTTATATTTATTCTTTTTTGTATCAATCTAATTGATATATTTTAGGATATTCTTGTGACAATTAAAAATTCTAATGAAGAATTAAATGATGTACAAAAACAATTACTACTAACTATTGAAGTATGATTTTTGGGATTCTCGAATTCCGCCAATAAGATTTTCGCTGATGTCATTATGTGATTACATGTGTATGAAAATAGCTCCTGATAATTATATTGAGGAGTTCAGACTAGAATATGCTTATTCTGATGATATAAGGTTAATTTGTCACATGCATTTTACACTAATTTTGCATTATTACCAAAGGGGAACAAACTGATTTCTTGATTTCATTTTCGTGATTTCTCAAGATGTCTTATGATTTCTAGTATGGAAATCAGTTGGGAATGTGTGTGTGTGAGTGAGTGTGGGTGTTGATACTGTATTCACCTGGCACCGATGCCCATACCCACACCACACCTAGTGGCGGCGCCAAGGGGGGCTGGAGGGGGCTCAGCCTCCTCAGAAATCATTCGAGATCCCTCAGATTTTTTAAAATTCT